TTTTTAATGGTTTTATTAATTAAACCTTATCCATTTAATATATCAGATATTTGGATGAGGCCATTAAAAGGCCTCAGTAAAATACCAAACGTAAAAGAGTTGGTCTAGTTCTATTAATAGAGCCTTATTTACTTTCCAATTTTATTTATATCTGAATACTTCGGTAACGAAATGGCTCAACCGAATATAGGTTTCTAGGGACTATTAACGTTACCTAGTTGATCCTCCGATCAGCCAACCAGATGTGCCAGTCTGATGAAGGCTAAGTCGGTAATTCTTGATAGTGGCAAGTTATTGGTTAAGACAATAACTAAAGACGTCAATAGTTTTTTCTTTTTTCTTTCTTTTTTCTAAAGATAGGATTTTATGAGGGTTAAATCCCTTCGGCGGCAACAGTACTTAGAGGATTATATATAGGCAATGTCTCAGCCTCACAATCCCTCAGAGTATTGCTGTTTTCACGAGGCAAACCTAACTTTATTAAACGTCCCATTTCGTTTATTTATATCGATATTTACACGATATAGAATTTATCTACGCGTTTATTTATTCTAAGGCATTTGTATCGCCTTTATTAGACCGAATCTTACAAGGGGTCATGTGCGATGAGGATGCCGACACGGCATTTGAGACGGAGCTTGTCTGTGTTGCCGTGGTCATAGCTAAGGGTAATGCAACTGTATACGCGAAGGGCTTTGACGAAGGCAGTAACGGGGCGATCGAAGAAGGCTTCGTAAGGGCTGAGACGCTTGGAATTGGAGGCACGGGGGGAGATGTTGCGGTTGTGGGATACATGGGATTTGGCCTCAGCCCACATGTGGGTACAATGTTCGTGTTGGTCTGGTGTGCGCGTTCGACACCACCGTGTTTGGCGAAGTAACCCGTGGGGTTGAAGAGTATCTGCACATGGGCGAGGTGATTGAAACGTTTGAATTCGCACGCAGGTGTTCCTGATATTCAAGGCCGGTGCAGCGTTCAAAGAAGCGAATAGTCTATGCATGACCACCGTAGCTCTGTTCAAATTTCCCTTCAAGATCGACCTGCCATTCGGTGCCGATGGCAGGGAGGGTGCGGGGCTTGTTGCTGACGGAAAGTTTGTGCATTTTTCCAGTGGCACATGCGACGCAAGATTACGCGAGGGAACCTGTGTGAAGGAGACTAACGTCGATGGCGGTCTGGAGAGCTGCAGGGATGGGGACGGCATGAGCCTGAAGACCGAAGATGGCGACACCAGTATAGAGCCAGTTGGGAGTGGTGACAAAGTCTTGAGTGCCGTCTGGTTGGCGGCGGAGAAACGTGTGGGGAGAAGAGGGATGATTTCTTCGTGCGTCTGAAGATAGAACATGAGAGCGGGCCACCAAGCAGCTTTAGGTTTGACAGGAAACAGCCAGATCATGCGGCCTTGGTCGCGTTCGAATTTGGCGGTACCGCGTGGGAAGTCTTTCCAGGGGAGGTTGCCGTAGAGGCCCTTGGTGGGCCGGCGCCAGTTCTGCTTGGACGCGTCGTGAAGGGGAGTCCTCTTGTCCTTGGCAGTAGGTGGGGACTTGGTGGTTGTGCTGAGTATCGAACATGTCGATGTCAACGGGACCGAAGACCTGTGTGACGTGCTTGTCGAAGAGTGTGGGGTGGAGTTGATAGTCGTCGCAGTAGGTAAGCGGTGGAGGGATGGGGGTATTGTGGGTGTGGGCGATGGCTTTAATCGTACGGATGGATTGATGGCCAAAGCGGGCATGATGGAGGTTGAGGTTGTCCGTTTGGAAGGCATTCAGATGGTAGCGACCGGCAGACTCGTCGATGACGGTGACGGTGGTGCCATTGCGTGTGATGAGGCATTGGGCAAGTCCATCGGGGGAAAGGGTATTGGCAAAGGAGATGGTGTAACCATTGCGTTGCATGTTGCGTACTGATAGGATAGGCTGGCTGGCGTCAGGGAGGACGAGGGCAGGAGGCGGTGACAAAAGAGCCGCCGGCGAGTTCAATGCCGAAGCGACCGTGTTCGATGTCGGAGAGGGAGTCAACAGAAGTGACGATAGAGATGTCGGCACCAGAGTCGACGAGAGCTGTAGCGATGGCGGATTGGTGATTAGGTTCTGCACGGAGGATAAGCGTGTTCAGATGGTAGTGTACAGGTTCGATGGGTGGATCGGGAATGGGAGGAACTGGTGGAGGACGTGTGGCTGCGTGAGGAACCCCGTGGCTTCAGGCACGGCGACAGGCAGTGTAGTGTGGCCGGTGAAGTTGCGGTAGTTGTTGCACTTGAGGGGGCCGGGGAGAGTGTATTGGGAGCCAGTGTGGGACGAGTCCCAGCATCGGCGGCAGTTAGTGGAGGGGCAGTCATATGCAACATGGCTGGTTTTCTGGCAAGCAAGCAGTTGCCAGAGGGGTCCTTACCAAGTGGAATGCGGCGGGGTCGGGAGTTGGGGGCAGGGGAAGGAGTGTGGTATGAGACACTGGCGACGGCATAGTTGCTGCTGGTGCTGAGAATGGCTTTGCTGTTAGTAGCATAGTTGCGCATCTTGGTGACGATAGCGTCGAGAGTGTGTGGTCGGTAGCACCCATGATGTCTTGGGCGACGATGTCAAAGCCGTCGGGAAGAGATAGAAGCAGGCTACAGACGTGATATAACTCAGGGGTGTCAGCATGGAGTCCTTTGA